AAACCGAAAAACATTAAAACATGACTATTAAACTGAATATAACTCCACAAGGAAAATCAGAAAGTGACATGAAATAAAAAAGCAAAGCAAAGCAAATCCATTCCTTCAAATGGAACAAGTATGTAGGAAAAAGAAAAGTGGTCAACATATTAAAATTCAACGCAAGGGATTCATTCACTCAAAACCACACTCCCTGAAAATCAATTATACTAAATTAGGGTTTGAAGGAAAATAGAGTGGAATGGAAGCGTGGAATTGAGAGAGGGAGAGAGAGAGAGAGAGATGAGAATGGAAAAGGTGAGCTTACAACAATAAGTTTGAAGAGGTTGGCCTCTTTGGGAGGAAGAGAAGAAGACATTGATAGAGTGTGTTGCAGAAACTGAGTTTGTTTGTGAGATTGGAAAATGAGTAACAAAGGAAAAGGGTGGCTTTGTGTTTTTATCACCACCTCAATTGCACCAACCCTACCCCTTCAACCAACAAATATAATAACACTACCCCTCCATCTAAGGGGTTATATAAACTATGTAATTTTACTATTTTTCTATATAACCAAATATAAAATGTTATCTATACTTTTAACAAAACCATTTCATTCTTTAAAAATTATTACAAAAAATGTTATTGCAATGAAAATGGAAAGTTAGTGGAAAAGTACACAAACATTAAATCTAAATTATAGATAAAAGTTTATAATTCTTTCATATTTTTTAATAAATAAGTTTAAAGTTATAGTAAAATTATTTATGATAATCTACTTATATTATAAAGTCATCTTATTTGGAAAAAAAAAATTGAAGTTCCATTATTATGATTAGTTTAATTTCAAAATGTACTATTCTTTCTATTGAAATGTCAATTCTCATTTTACTATTAATTCTCATCAATTCAACCTCATTTACAAGAAAAATTTAAATAATTTATATTACAATAATAATTAAATAATAAAATTAAGTTGTGATTTTAATTCTTATGTTTATTAATTTTTGAAAGATTCCTCATGTTAATTTTATATATTATATGAATTTGATGTATGATTTATTAAAAAAATACATGTACAAGTAAATATAGCTCAAATAAATACATGTTAATTTCACGTTTCTCATACTAATCTTTAAAATCCAGAAAGAAAATGACAATATTAAGATACTTGTAAATATTAATAAAACATGAAGAAATAATAAAATAAGAAACATTTTCCAAACCAAAGAAGTCCCACTATGCTGTAAGGCTAACAAAGGCCATGTGAATAAGGTAATTTCAAAAGGAGACCAAGTTCTTGTTATTATACATAGTACAACAAGCTATTGAAAATCTAGCTAAACCAAATTAACTGTTTTTTATCTCTAAAGAAACAGGTGCAATCAAAATTCAGATATCTTAGAGGACAAAGTCTTATATGCTTGGTCTATTTCCTGTTCTGTCATCTCAATAGTTTCATCACTATCATATTCATTTGCACCAGAAGATTTGGCATTTGTTCTTCCACTCTTGTTCCTCTGCTCTTCATTTATTTTCCATTCATCATCTAAACTATTTAGTTCTTCTTCGTAAATAAGTTTACAATCCAGCGCATGTTTGTGAAGATCTTCCTTGGACAACGAGGCCGTAATGTTTCCTTCCTCGTCCAACTTTGCAAGCTCATCAACGACGCGAGGCAAGAAATTCCAGTCCTCGGTTGCTTTCCGGATATCCTGGTTTAAGTTAACATTACAAACAGTCAGCACTCAAGTCATATATAATCCTTAAGATAACTAAAAACAAGAATATCAAGGGTCAGTTTGATTAAGTTTTTTCACAAGAAAATGTTTTTTTTAAATAAAAGATGACTTCTAAACTTGCATGTTTGTTTGGTTGAGCTTTAACTAAAAAATGCTCCTGGTTTACATAAAAACCATCTTCTATAAAAGAAAGGAGTGCATATAAATATTAAGAGTGATAAACAGTTTGTTATGGGTATATTATTACCTGCTTTTCCTTGAGAGAAGATATTGCATCTTGCAAACAAGTTAGAATCCCCTCTGCAGCTATTTTCCTTATCTCACTTGGATCTGGCTGAAATGGTAAACATAAACTTAGGTTCATACAAGATAGGATATAATTATTAACATGAAGCACAATTTAGTCGGAACAACATATAGCTACAGCTTTCAAGCATTCGTAATCATGAATGGTGAGCAGTGACTATTTATCACTTTTTGAACAAATGAATTAGGCTCCAGTGTGAACTTTTTTTCAACCCCTCTAGTCTCTGATTCTCTGCAAGTTTTGAATGCTTAGAAGAAAGCCATGACATTGAGAATGAGCAAAAAAAGGTTTTTTTAACATGGGAAATGGAAGACGACGATCATACCTTTTCTTCTTGACTTTCCAGCCACTGAATTGTTTTATTCAAGTCGTCAATGGCCCACTTCTTTACTTCAGAAGGCACAAAACATTTCCTAGCAACATCAGTGCCTTTTCCCTGGAATATGCAGCAAACATAAAAAATCTATAACAAAATTAATTGTTCACACATTAAATAAATGCTATTCAGAGCCATTACTCTCAAACCAACCACACTAATAAAATTTATGATGCAGCTTTTACCTTTGAATTTATGGAGGCTGTTGGCTTGGAAGGGAATTCACTTTTGACGTGCTTTGGTAATTTTTTGGGCGCAGATGACTTTTTATCTGCACTTACACGTAAGGTATAAGATGCAAGTAACCAGAACTACACAATCTTGATTGGCTTTGGTAAAGCTCAAATTTCGTATGAGAAAATATAAACAAGGTGCGTGTGGGTGTGGCAATGAGTATTGCACTCATTAGATGACAAAAAAAGCTCAAACTTCAGGTCCTATTGGGTAGAAAATATATCACCTTCACTGATGTCATGTGATTTATTTCCTTTGCGCCATGGTTTTCCCGCATGCATAAGGTAACATTCAATTTCAACCAGTTTCCTTTGGGTGTAACACTCTACTATCCAATCCTAACACACAAAAGGGTAAAAAGAAAGGATGCGTCATGTTTGATTAGGGTAGACTAACATCCAAAAATAAGTACAAAATGATGCAACTAACTTACTAAGAATCTGCATAGCATAACTAGAATTTCCCTACCACTCCAACACAAAGAGAGGAAAAGCTTGGTAGCTGTTAATATGCCACGAATAACACTAACAGGACTAGTTTTAAAAAAGGCATGGTCTGAAATGTGCAACAAATAGTATTCTCCTTAGCAAAATGCATCAATTAGCACATGACATGAAAATCCCCTTCATACAAGAACTACAAAGAAAGACTAAGAATCTTCAAAAGTTGCAATGCAGTTAAACATGGTAAAAGGAATTAATCAAGGACTCTATTGAATAGTATCCCAACCCCTTAAATAAAAAAATTCAATGTCCGAGTAAACATCCCCGACTTGCATCAACCCGAGGAAAAAACTAGTATGTCTCTGTTAACCACCAACCACCAGTAAATGAAACAGTGCACTTATCTTATGCCACAAGTTGGCACTATAGCAATATACTTTAATATAGAGATTCCTGAGACTTCTTTATTTCCAGTTCAAACCTTCCCAAAAGATAAGTGTCATGCTAAAGAATGAATACAGAAATCATCCCCGTGTAAACAAGGTAAAAAAGGAAACCTTTGACACAATGGTTCCACAATCAGCTTCAACTTGTTGAAACTTCGGGGTATTTGGAAATGCACAAACCAAGAGAGTGCAATCGGAATTCCAGTCGGATTGATACTTTGCTCCCATTTCTAATGCTTGCGATCGCAACATGCCACGCTCTGGATTGACAAAGCCTGACAACACAAAAACCACTCCTTCCTGTCCACAAACAGTTGAATGAATTACGACCTCAACCAACAATGCAAGCAAAACCAAAATATAGCTGAAAATGAGTTATGACCTCAATCAACACTGGACAGTGAAAAATCAACAATGCAAGCAAAACCCCATCATGGGCCAGTTTGTATAGGCATAAAAAAGTGACTCTAAATTACTAAAAAAGGTGATTTTACTAACAAAAAAATGAGAAGCTGAAAAATATAGCTCTCATAAAAGTTGAATTCATAATAAAAGCTCAATCAAACAACCATGTATTGACCATCCTTTCATGGTCAAAGTGACAGAGCTTGGTTGGTTCCCTTCCTTAATTAGGCTTCAGGTTCGAGTTCGACTCTTGTGAATGTAAAAAATACGCTGATAAAACTTACCCACTTAGTAAGTCTTCCTGGCTAAACTCAGATTAATTAGGATTCCAATGTGACATCTAGAGTGTCACATATCAAAACTACCATGTAAATGTCAAGAATGACTTTTTTTAATATTTATATTAGAAAAATCACTTTCTGTGAAAAAAGCCATAAAAACTGGCTGAAACTGATCCTTGTTAACCGCTTACCAGAAGCTTGTTAAAGCTTTTAGAATTAACAGATGTAGAGGCAGAAGATTTTGCAGCATTTTCAGTTTGGACTTTGGTCTTCTTTTTGGGTGATTCACTTTCACTATCCAAAGATGGTTTCTTTCCAGAATTCTCATCCTCATTGTCCCTTGAACTCATCCATGAGGGCAGATTTCGCTTAGAACCGTTGTTATTAGACATGGCACCAAAAATAACACAAAATATCCCCAAAGTAACGAATTTGAGGATCGTACAAGTTCCAATTAACAAACCTACATTTTGGGTCCAATCTAAAATTAACAAATTGATCCAAAATTTAATCAATCAACACATGCAACAGCATTTGATGATAAGTTAGGGTGAGATGAATATAAATTATGATATCATAATTATTATATCTAAAAAGAAGAGATTTTAATAAATTGAAAATGGACCTCTTTGCTTCTTCTTCTTCTTCGAAGTTTTATTTGGATGCAATCGTTGTGGAGGTTCTGCTTTAGTGCTTTTACTTGCGTGCTTTGTGAAAGGGCGAAAAGTACTTAGACTCGTGAAAAAGACCAAATAAATTAGTTAACTTTGATATTTTAACATCAAAAAGTGGACGTGCCGGAGTGGTTATCGGGCATGACTAGAAATCATGTGGGCTCTGCCCGCGCAGGTTCGAATCCTGCCGTTCACGATTTTTTTATTTTCAAACTATTCTTTTCCATTTGTAAAACAATCAAGAGAAACTCCTAAGCATTTATGATCATGCTATTATTATATTTTTTATTATTACTTGGGTTTCTGACACACACAGAAAGCAAATTTTGTATCACAACTTCTTCACCCAACAAATTTGGTGATCTCCTTATCTGTTATCTGTATTTGGAATAAGACTTTTAGTGTAGAATATAGAGTTCTTAAGTGAAGATACTAGTTGCATATGGCAACAAGTTTGAACTTGGGTTGCTATAATATTCGGTTCTTTTTTAAATAGTTGATTTTTAGAGTGTGAATTGTAGTACTTGAGCACGCCTAGTTACAACAGCTACATGTTTTTATAAAATTATATATTATAAATTGTGAGATCATATTTTTATTATATTTATATTTATCCTTATCATCACTTGATCATAATTAAAACTAACCAGGCTCAACCTGCAGGCTAATTTGTTATAGTGAGTCTGGACAAACGAATACAATGATTTTAGAAAGTTGTCACATTCAAACAGCAAAAGCTTCTACACTCACCTGCAATATTCTGAAATTAACAACACAAGCTAGAAGATAAGGTATACCTTATATATATATATATATATATGTCAGCTATAGAGATAGCTGCATAAAAAAAGAGCTAGGATTCAAAGTACTAACTGTTACAACTACATTTGAATAGTTTCCTCAATAGTATTATCATCACAATTATTATTATTGATCATATTTTTGTACATTTATTCATAATTATAATTATAATTTTATAACTGATCCAAATAACCCTTCATTCTAATTTCTAATTAAGCTAAAGCCAAAGAAAAGGATGGCATGATGCATGTTTGGATGTTTGGATCTTGCATATAAACAAGTTGAAAAAGCTTATCAATGATTTATAAGGATAAAGATGCATACTCCAAACGACACAATAATTGTACTGTTGTTGCACATGTGGGCCCTGATATAGATATATCAGAAAGAGGTTGTGGTCACTGGTCACAGCTGAAAAGAAGCCAAGTGCACCAATGTTGAGACTTGTTCAATAACTAACGTTGAGACTTGTTTCTAACTAAGGTTCAATATGCCTTCAACTAATTCGGGTTTAGGACTTTGTTCAATCACAGAATGAAAGAAAAATAAATTTTCCATAATTTGGTTGCAGCCTTCATGTTTTCTTTCTGATATTGGATGAAAAACTAAGCAGAGAAGATTAACGAGTGATTTTCTCATCACTAACTCCTTATATATCATATTTCGCATGGATAATTTACTAAACTTAAAAAAAAAGGAAAATAATACAGTGTCAATATTATTATTAATAATAGTTATAGAGGAAAATATATATTCAAGGATAGTGTTCAAGCTTTATAGACGGTTGTCACTGCATCATTCATCATTCGTATTTTATCATTATTGATCAATAAAAAAGTAATACAAATGAATGATTGATAATATAATGATTGTGTATACACTGATAACACATAATTACCTTATATTATATTCTATTCACTTTCTTTCCATTTGTTAACATATCACAACTCAAAAATCGTTTCAGTCTTTATTCAATTTCTCCTCTCAATTTTTCTTTTGTCAACCTTTGTTTGTTTAATTTTTCTTTGGTAACCAAAGTGTTTAACTGATTAGTATTATGTTTTGCTATTATATAAGCTTAATTATAGGTTCTACCTCTAATCTCTACACTCTTCCAAGGGGACTAAGAATTATTGACGCCCTTTAGGCTCAATGTCCCACGAGCATTTTCTTTTGAGCTCTATCGAAATTTCTCAACTAATGAATACAAGCTTAGTTACTCCTTGTTGCTTGAGCTTGTTCATAATACATGAACATATTTTATTTCAGTTCTTTTACACTTGTCCTCAACTACGTACACGGTGAGGAAGTCATTGGTATCTATTTAAATTCATTTTCAAGTGATACTTAAACGTGAACATTATCATTTGATAGTAAATTTGGACAAACCACTTACCACTCTAGCTTTAAATTGATAGAATAACTATTACAAGTTAAAGTAGAAGCCATACACAAAGATATAGATGTTGATTCCCCCTCCCAATTGTGCAAGTTTCCATTATCTCTATCTTTTATACTAGTTGCCCATTTACAAATAAAACTAGACATGATGGTACCCATTTACCCAACTTACATTAATTTTACTCATACGAACAATATTGTGTATATTATCATTAATAGTTTGCTTTTAGTTTGTTTTTATGATTTCTTGTTAATTGTGTACCTTGTTTAGGTTTGTAGAAAAAGACATCAAATTGCTTCTATGGGCAATGAAAAACTTGTCATGACATTTTATAAGAACTTGAGATATTTTATATTTTTTAATTGAATCGAGTCATGGGATATGCTAAATTTACAGTAAAATTAGAAGTTACAATATATTTTACTTTTGCCCGTTAAGTTATATAATATATACTATCATAAACCTATTTATTATATGAGAATAACGTAGTAAATTATATTTATTAATATCCATTAGAAATGTTATATACACACACTTTTCATTAAAAAAAATAGGAAATGGACATTCCTGTAAATAGTATTATATTTGTTTCTTCGTATGAATTTTGAAAGCAATACATAGAAGACAACGACGTAAAATTAAAATCCAAAGAAAAATTACAGAAAGATTTTATCAGTTTTTGTTTACGGAAACAATTTCCCGAGTTAAATTGGTATACATAAATACTGAAAGTGTTGATCATCCTCATGAACCTTTTACTAATGAATAATCAATGACGTTCACTTCAATACACAACTTTTAATATATAGATTAGCATAAAAGATTCTTAGCACAATTTCTCTGTGGACATTAAAAATAATAAATGATGTCTAGTTTCCAAAAGATTGGAAAATGGGTCATTTGGAGTTTAGAGTTTTGGGTTGACCCTCAAAGTGAAGAGTATATCTCCTCTCTATTACACGAGAGACAATGCATATGTAGGATTGCGACACCACGTGTTAAAAGCAAAAATTTTAAATTGTTTAAATTTTTACTCTTTTTTAAATTAAGATTTGTGAAAAATTACTCCTATCATATTTCCTAGTATTGGAATCTCGTGTATCGGAGATGAATCATAATCCAAAGTGAAAGCCATTCTTTCCTCTCACTCTTATCTTTAAACCACCGACTGTAGGACGTGGGACCTAATTACTTTGGCAACATGCCATTACATACATGATGATCAGGGATAACAACTTATCCCAAACTTGTTTTCACGAGGTATGGATGGATTCGAGTTCAGGTTTTCCAATACTTTCAAATTCTGAATGCTCCATTTTGTATTATATAAGTGATACATCATCCCAGTTTATATAATAAATATTACATTTTATAATTACCTTATACAGTACTCCTAATGTGATCTGATCTGAGTTGCCAATGTTTCTTTTATTACTTAAATTTAAAAAGGTATTCAGCATAGGAACAACAAAACAATGGCATAAAAGAATAGAAGACGACAAATAGCATGATCAATTTAATAATAATAATCATATAATAATGCAGGTCTTCAAAACAAAGGAGTCGTTGCATGATTCACCCGGACAGGCCCACGGCAAAATCGCTATCCAATTACGTTGCTCCATGAGGAATCGTCAATAATTTTATCTTAAATGTCGTGTCGCATGTTAATTTTTTTTGACAATGATATGTTTTCCATTTTTCTAATTTTATTTGATTTTAATTGGTTCAAACAAACTTAGAGATATAATTGAGTACAATACATCTTTATCCTAAAGATTTAGTAAGATATTTGAATTTGAAAATATATAATTTTCCTTACTTTTAAAATCCCAATTTTAAGATTCCAAAAGTTTCATTTTCAATAGAAAATTTTAACCAAATTAACAAAACCATTTTTACTAAGAGCTATCTATCTAATTGCATCCAAATGAGTGAAAATTACATAACCATTAGCTTGGCGCTTTCAATGGGCCACCATAACCTTCTAGAACACCCACAGTTTTTATCTTCATCTTCATCTCCACTCAAAGCTTATCTCTAACAGCATGTGCAACCCCACTCATAAAATCCCATAAAAGCTCTCTTATATATTCACTTCCATATTCTCGTATTCTCTATACACCCCAAAATATCTTTTCTCTCTCTGCAACTCCCTTTTTTATGTAAAGCCTCAAACTTTTAGCTAAAGTTCTCATCTTTCCTTCACTGATTCACTAAAGTTCTCATCTTATAGTTCATACTTGCAATGGAGCTTATTTCAGGTTTACCAGATGACGTAGCCCGAGACTGTCTGATTCGGGTCTCGTACCAGCAGTTTGCGGCGGTAGCCTCCGTCTGCAAAAAGTGGAAGACGGAGATTCACTCGCCGGAGTTTCGCCGGAGGAGACGATCCATCTGCAAAACCCAGAAAATAGTTGTTACTGTTCAATCGAGGATTGAACCGGACAAATGCGGAGCTGGGTTGTTAGTTAAGTCAACTATGAACCCGGTTTACCGGCTCAGTGTCCTCGAACCGGAAACCGGAATCTGGAGCGAGTTACCGGTTCCTCCCGGTTTTGATGGTGGTTTACCCGTTTTCTGTCAGTTAGTTAGTGTTGGATATGATATTGTTGTTATGGGCGGGTGGGACCCAGATTCGTGGAAACCTTCTAATTCAGTTCTTATCTATAATTTCATGTCGGGGACGTGGCGACGTGGGACCAACATTCCTGGTGTGGCCCGCACGTTCTTCGCATGCGCGTCTGATTCAGATCGAACTGTGTACGTGGCAGGTGGACATGACGAGGAAAAGAATGCTCTGAGGTCGGCATATGCATATGACGTGTCATCTGATGTGTGGATACCCATGCCAGATATGACAATGGATCGGGATGAATGCAAAGCTATCTTATATCATAATGATAGTGGTAGTGGTAATAGTCTTTGCATCATCGGTGGTTATTGCACCGAGATGCAAGGGCGATTCGAGAAGAGTGCTGAGGTCTTTGATGTTTCCACATGGAAATGGAGCACAATGATTGATGAGTTCTTAGATGATGCCATGTGTCCAAGAACGTGTGTGAATGGTGGTGGTAGTGAGGGTGATAAGAGAATGTATATGTGCAATGGGAGTGACGTGGTGGCATTGATGGACTCCACGTGGCAAACAGTGGCAAAAGTGCCATGTGAGATACGTAATGTTGCATGTGTTGGAGTGTGGGAAGGGGCAGTGTTGTTGATTGGGTCGAGTGG